TTAAATAGTTTAATAAATAAAAAAATATTTATTTATTTTTTTAGTATGAAATAAAATATATATAGATTTTAAAGTAAAAAAAAAACATTTTTATTTTTATAAATGATTGATGGAGACCTGGTTGGTAATTTAGAATATATATCTATTAGTTATTACATTTTATTATTTTAAAAATTTGTAATATGACTTGATGGATTTGCCACGTAAGAAATTTATTTTTTGTTTTTTAAATTTTTATTGGAACGGGAAATATTGAATATAACTAAAATTTAAAAGATGCCTTTTTTGACGATTAATGATTAGCCAGCTGGCAGTTTCCTTCTCTCGGTATGTAGTTTTACGGAATCGAGGGCGTGGATTTGACCCTTCCAGCCGATCCATTCCAAACAAACCCTCACGTGCACTCGCCTCCAGACTTGTCACTCTACGACTTTTTACACCCTTTAAATTAATCGCCGACTCCTCGTTCACCAATCAACCTCTCATAATTCTCAATAATTAATTCATTATTCCCTTTATTTTATTTTATTTTTTAAATTTTAGATCAAACTATTCTTAAAATATATTGAATTCTTTTGTACCTATTTGTACTTAGGTGTCATGCTAAACTATAAACTTGGTTTAAATGTTATTTAATAATATTTATAAAATTTAGAAAAATAGATTATTACCTTAGCAATGCACGGTAACCTGTGAATACCTGATATTTTTAGTTTTATGAAATTTTAGTTATTAATATAATATATAACATGGACTACTGGACAATTTAACTCAACCTAAAAATAGAGGGTTAGGTTGTTAACTCTATTGTAGTTGCTCACGTCACCAACTCCAAATTTTAGATTGGTCCAAATGTTTTTTGGAACTCAACCCATGTACACTGTACAAGCTGATGAATAAGATATGATTAAACGGGTTGTTTTTAATATCCACGTTACTCACATGAGATTAAATCTAAAACATCTACTTTTACGAAACAAATCCTTTTATCTTTTATCGAAAGTGGACGCACATCTTGAAATCTATGGTTTAGAATGGAAATTATTTATAATGTCCCTTGCTTGCTTTTTCTTTAATGGTCAATCAAGCTGGGATTCATTTATAAAGTGACCATAAATAAATAAATAAATAAAGCACTTAATTAACAGCCTTTATCAGGTCAATTTGACTTGGAACGTCGTCGTTTCTAGCTAGATATGCCCAAAAAAGCTCTTCAGATTTCCAATATTAAAAAATTAAAAAAAAAAAAGCCAGAAAGGAAGTGGCCATCTGTCACCTTTCATAATTCCTCATTTAATTAAAAGCTATAAATCCCAATTTTAAAAAATTAAAAAAATAATTATTATTTTACTTTTTATATACAAAAATCAATTTTAGTGTTGTGTTTTCCAAATAAATATATTTCTATTTTCAAATACCGAAGTTGATTCTGCTGTTCATAAAGTTCTTGAATTTAGCTTACTTTAGTATAATTTATAAAATTTTAATTACTTTTTTATTATAAAATTCCAATTTTATGAACCATTTTTTAAAATATTGGTAATTTTAGTAAATATTTACAAAAAAAAAAAAAAATTCATTCTCTATTTTTAATATAATTTTTATTAAAAAAAAAATAAATAATATAATAATATTTTATAAATAAAAATATAATATAATATTTAAAGATAAATTTTAAAAAATTTAAATTTTAATATTACAATTTTCTCTCTCTTCTGAAATGACAAATATGTTATATCCACCCTTTCTCTCTCCTCCCCCGTTATAAACTCTGGTTCGAAAGCCCCTTCGTTCTGAAATTGACAGATGAAGAGCGGCGTGGCCTGCAATTTCTGACACTTTTACCCCCCAATATGCTCCATTCTATCAAGTACCTCGCCGGCTCCCCCGGCCCCTCCGGCTTCGGCTCCAAATCCTCCGCCGAACACGTCACCGCCTCCGCCCTCCACCTCCCTTCCATCACCGCCATAATCACCGGTAAACTCAACTCCAACCTCCTCTCTTACTCTCATCGTTAAACTCTACTTAATCTCTTCTTCTTTCAGGCGCGACGTCGGGTATTGGCGCGGAAACGGCGCGGGTTCTTGCGAAACGCGGGGCTCGGTTAATCCTCCCGTCGCGGAACCTGAAGGCGGCCGAGGAAGCCAAGGCGCGGATCGAAGCTGAATGCTCTGGCTCGGAAATCATCGCCATGGCTCTGGATTTAAGCTCTCTGGCCTCTGTTAGAACCTTCGTTGCCCAATTTGAATCGCTGAATCTTCCGCTGAATCTCCTCGTGTAAATCTCTGAAGAATCCATTAATTTCTGTTTTCCTCTGTCAATTGGGATTTTAATTTTGAAAAATTTTCAGAAACAACGCCGGGAAATTCTCTCACGAGCACGCGATTTCGGAGGACGGGATCGAGATGACCTTCGCCACTAATTATTTGGGTAATTAAAAAAATTAAAATTAAAAAAATTATAATTAGAAATGGCGTATTAATGTTGTGAAGTGTTTTCAGGTCATTTTTTATTGACGAAATTGTTGGTGAATACGATGGTGGAGACGACGAAGGCGACGGGGATTCAGGGGCGGATTGTGAACGTGTCGTCGAGCATTCACGGCTGGTTCTCCGGCGACATTATCAAATATCTCGGCCAGATAAGCCGAAATAAATGGTAAATTTAATATAGAAAAGGGTTTTCTTTTAATTTGTTTATTAATTTACAAATTTATCATGCACACAATTAAAATTTTCAAATTTTAAGACATAAAATTTAAGTTTATATATTATAAATTAATTAATATGAAATTTATTTCAAATTTAATATAATATAATTTTTAATTTTTTTTTAACATAATAATAATAATTTAGTATAAAAAGGGTTTTCTTTTTTAATTTTTCTACGTTTATTGACTTTAAAAATAAAAAATAAAATTTATGAATTCACAAATTTATGGACACAAAATAAAAAAAAAAATTAGGATATTAAATTCAAATTTATATATAACAAAGTAGTTAATATAAAAATTTTCTGTTTTAAAATTTATTAAAAATGAATAAAAATGGTATTTAATTTAATAGAATATTTTTATTTTTTTGGGTAAAAAAAGATGGTAATTTTAAAACAGTTACTGTGGGTGAATTTCCAGCAGGAATTACGATGCGACACGTGCGTATGCGCTCTCTAAGCTTGCGAACGTTCTGCACACCCACGAACTTGCTCGCAGATTGAAGGTTCTTTACATTTATAATATTACTTAAATACCCCACTCTTCCTTCTTTATTATAGGGTTTAATTCGTCTTTTCCTACTCACCTTTGACTCATATATTTTCTTTTTTTATTTGCATTAATCATTATTATTGATTCTTTTCTTATTAATTTTCTTAATGAAAAAGTAATCCTTAAAAAAAAAAAAAAGTTTTAGTTTAAAATTTATTATACAAAATTAAAAATTGTAATTTAAGAATTCTTGCATGAATTTGGTTAATTATTATTATTTTATTATTTTAATTTAGAAAACGGGAGCTAATATTACTGTGAATTGCGTTCATCCGGGAATCGTTAGAACTCGACTCACTAGAGATCGTGAAGGTTTCATTACAGGTATGAATTTTATTTAATTTTTCCTTTTATTATTTATTAAAATTAATTGATTTAATTTGCAGATTTGGTGTTCTTTATAACTTCTAAATTGTTGAAGACAATTCCTCAGGTAATTAACTTAAACCTCTTAATAATTTTGATTAAAATTATAAGTCTTTATTGGCATGAGATCTTTTGGAGAAGTTCAAAATAAAGTCACGAGAGCTTATACATAAAAGGGATAATATCATACCATTGTGGAGAGTTGTGATTCTTAATAGTTCTGATGTTTTTCGTCTTCCACAGGCGGCGGCAACCACATGCTATGTGGCAGCAAACCCAAGACTGAGCAACGTCACCGGAAAATACTTTGCCGACTGCAACGAAGCCTCGCCGTCGAAACTCGCCGCTAGTCTGACAGAAGCCGCCCGTCTCTGGTCCGCGTCGGAGATCATGGTCAACACAAACTCAAAACTCGTTTTTAATCCAAACAATGCCTTGGACTAATTTAGTTTATTAAAAAAAAAAAATTAAATACCTCAAAAAATAAATATAAATATATATTGTTTGGTTAGGAGAGAGAATCTTAGTCTAGAAATGAAATATAAAATATAAAATATAATGGTAGATGGTAGGTAGACAAAAAGCAGGAGGAAGGTAGGAAGGTAGTGGAGGGAATGAATATATTTAGGTTTACAAATATAATATATAGTTTTTAGCTTTATTTTGTGTATAATATATAGTTTTTTTTAGGTTTTAATTTAATGTTGGTTGTGACATATAATAAGCCAAGTTAAGTGCTCTCTTTATACTTATATTTAATCATTGGACCCATCAAGTATTGGAGGATTTGGCTGTGTGTGAGATCATCTAATCATGATCATACTATGATTCAAGGGCCACATTTAAAGCAACCAAAAAAAAAAAGAAGGTGCCTTTAGTTTTAAATATAAAGACAGAGATTTAAATTATGCTGGTGTCCTTCAAATATAAAATACTAAATATGATAATATCATCGAACTAATTTTATAATTAACTTAATTAATTTTGTAAAAAGTTAGGTTTACGTTCTTAAATTTTGAAAATAAATTATCCTGACCAAAGAATTTAATGGTATTAAGACTAGTAATTATTAACTTTTTTTGATTTTTTTTGAATTAGTAACTATCAGCATCGTCTTGAATCCTATTTTTGAATTAGTTGGGTTAACCTGATGAAAAAAGTTTCTCTTTGTTCATTGTTTTAGGGTTAGCACGGATCAACTTAGAAGAACAAAATATTTTCCTTCTTGACTAACTAAAGACCAAATTTGAATTGAGATGCAACAATACATAAACAATCTATCGGTGGAGAAGATCGATCTATCGATCTAAGACAAAGAGAAATATCTACAAGAAAACGAGGCCATATGTACAGAGAACGGACAGCATTACGTCAGAAATAGGTCTAGCATATATTAGAAACAAGTCCGAACCTAAGTTAAATTTACAGCTAAAACCATGGTGATGGTTCACCCATCAACCTACTAGCAACGGGGAGAAAACATAGCATGTCACAAAAAAAGTTCGACACCTCCGGTAGCCAACAAGGTTTTGAAAACAAGTCATTTCTGAAAGCATAATCTAGAGGTCAAAGTAAATGATGTTTCATAGTTAACAGTCTTACGAAACGGAATTTTCAAAGAAACAGTAAACTATGTTTCATTCAGTACGACGTCTCTTTTTAGCTAGATTCTCAAATACCTGGTGGATATCTGCAGACGTAATTGGCTTCGACGAGTCGAACGATTCCTGCAACGTAGAACAGAACATATAACCAAGGAAAATACGAACACAAGCAAAGCAAACACATATAATGAGTGAATACCATGAATGTACGAATCTCATCCTTCATATCTGCAATGCCATTTAGAATCTCAATCTTCTCCACATGGCCCAGGTTATTAAACAACTTTAACTCAGCACCCTCTTGTTCCTGTAACTTCTCTTCCCTCTTCTGCTTTGCTATTTTCTCATACTCAGCAATGGAGTCCTCTTCATCTACCAAGAAACTAATGTTCTTCAGCTTGTAATTATTGATGCATTTTTCACATCTGCACAATGCACCCCTCCAGTTCTTTGAAAGAAACATTGGCTTGTTTTCAGCAATTATGGAAGCAGATGAAGAGGTTTCAAGCACACAACTATCAGTTTGAGTGTTATTATTCTCAGGAAGTTCACTAAGCAAGCTGTCCTTTCCAGCAGAGTGCCTTCCCACAGCCCAAATAGACGAAGGATATTGAATCAGGAAAGAACAAATTGCCGAACACACCGAGCATATAAAGTCCTCGTATAGGGGCTCCCCTTCTTCGTCTCTTGGAATCTGCAGAATGAACAAGTACAATGAAGTCGATGTTATTTCAAGGTTCACCAAATCTCGAGACTGGATCACGAAATCTTTTAATGATAAGCAACAAAACATTGTAAAACAACAAAAATGGAGAAACGAGACAAAATAATTGAAAAACCCATGGAAGGCTTTTGTGTTAACACACCTCATCTATGGAACTGAGACCAAGATGTTCCTCATGGAACCAATCCTCACACATACAGCACTGAATCATCTCCACCTGCTCTTCAACATCTGGATCGGGATAAGGGCGATTGCATATGCAGTACGATCCTTTAAAATTATGATTATATGAGTTGTTGGCATTTTCTACGTCTTTGTTTGAGAACAGCTTGCAGATGAAATCTCCAAATTTTGAATTTCCACAGTCGCACCTGAAGTTTCTTTTGGTCCATAATTCCACAATCTGGCCCAAGAGAACAATGATCACAATAAGATGGGGCGGAGGCGGGGGCGTTAAGAAGCCAAATACTTGGAGAGTTTAACATCATCGAAATAATTATTGACAATCGACAAGTAAACATGTTCTTAAATTGATAACCTAAATTTACAACATGACAAATACCCTAAATGTTTTTTCATAAGCAAAACCTGTGAGGTCCCACGTCGTTGGAGAGGGGAACGAAGCATTCCTTATAAGAGTGTGAAAACCTCTCCCTAGTAGATGCGTTTTAAAAACCTTGAAAGGAGCCCAAAAGAGAGCTAAAAAAGGATAATATATGCTAGCGGTGTGCTTGGGCTGTTACAAATGGTACCAGAGCTAGACACTAGGACGCTGACCCCCAAGAGGGTCGATTGTGAGGTCCCACATTGGTTGGAGAGGGTAACAAAGCATTCCTTATAAGGGTGTGGAAACCTCTCCCTAGTATACACGTTTTAAAAACTTTAAGGAGAAGCCCAAATAGGATAATATCTGCTAGCGGTGGGCTTGGGCTGTTACACAACCACATACAACAAGCTGGATCTTCAACAAATACTCGGTGTCGAAAAAGGGATCAGTTAAATATGGTAAAAAAGTACATCTTTTATATCATATGGATCATACTGCTTAAAAGCAATCTGAGCCATGGTATCTAAACCCCTGCATATCTAAACAGAGTTCCTTCTAAGAACATGTATACCTCATGTCCATCATGGCATGACAAGCTACAGGCTGTGCAAACTCCAGCATTTCCATCAGGGGTACAAGTTAGACATGAGAAAATGGCTTGTCTCTTCATATAACCCTTGCTGTAAGTACATTCCTTTCCTTCGTCGCCTCCCAAAACTAAATCCGCTTCCTTGATCAATAAAATGATAATAATAATAATAATCAGATACCGTGCACCCAAAATGAAGATACAGAAACAAGAAGAGGAGACATTAGAGTTGTATCATATTCTCTGTAGAAAGCCCAAATGACTTCGCTAATTGGAAACTTCAGAACAGTACAGGTGATCTGAATTCTAAGTATGTAACTATATCCTCTACTAACACTACGAACACACACAAAACGTCGCGACAGGAGATCGACTTACAATGAATTGGACGCTCCAATCGATTTTAAGAATTTTGATAAGTTTTGCGGCCATGAACCCTAATTATAGAAAACCCAGTTCGTCTCCAAGCCATTATGTCGCTAAATTTTTGGAAAACCAACCAATACTCAGACATCGAATTGAAAGAGGAGAAGAGCCAGAGTTACCAGCTCCTGTTCCTCAACTTCCTTCAGATACTCCTGAATAGAAATTGTTTGTTCGGTTTCGTCGTCGAAAACTTCCGCCATTTCAAATCAAACGATGTAGGAATTTTCAATAACACTCCACTATTGATAATCGAAACTAGTTCTCAGGATCCAAACCTGAAGACCAAACAAAACATTAATTACACTCAAAACCCCATAACGAAAATTCGAAAAGAAAACAGCGTAGGGAGATGCCCTAGAACGAAAGGGCGAGATCCCACCAAACTTGAAGAGAAAAAAATTACCTCATTTGGAGTTGAGAGACCGCTCCAGAACCTGAAGGCGATCATACAAGTAGCGTCGATTGAGAAAGGATTTTCCCCTCGTCGATAGATAAAAAATGGAATTGGGTTTGGATGAGCAGGGACTCTTACGGCATTCTCCCGCCACAATTAGCAAAAGTGGGCTCTTTCTTCGCTGAAATCAAATATATAGTTCGCTGATGGTTCCCTCCACTTCCAAGTCTTTGGGTTTTGGAATTTAGAGGAAGTAACTCAACTAACAAACCAAATAGAGAATGAATATATCATTTATTTCCATATTTTAATAACAATTTCATTTTCTTTTAAATCTCAATAATCTAAGACATTCGACCATTCAAGATGGAAGGACGACAGTCTCTCATACATTACCAGAAGGAGCTAGTGTGGAGAGCGTTAAGACCTAGAACAGTTAGTGATGGCACGATTTCACTGATTCTCTCCGTTGGAAGTCTTCACCTCTCCTAAAGAACAAACATTATTTAAGACCATGCTAACCAGAAATACACGACCGCATGTCAGTAGAATGCTTTTTTTTTCTTTTAGGCATCGAGAAGTTATGAGTAATTCTAATTTTGATTTGTCGCTTGGTCTCGAAAGTATCCGAAGATACTTATCATAAGTTTTAACAATACATCTTGACATTAGATTCAACAATATACCTTTTTCACCGAGCCGAAGTACAAGCTAAACTCCTTGAACTTTCCTACTCTATTTGAAGTAGAAACGATCCAGAAAAACATGAAAGCGGAGCTCGATTTCTTCGTAAATTAAAAAACGACCATTAACAGAAAAAGAAATAATTTGGTTCCTTCTCAGATCAAATATCAATTTTCCTACACTTTCCTAAGAGAAAGAACATATATTGAACTGCCAATGATCAGTAAAGGTAAGTTACACTTTCAAAATGGCATATTCTCCTGGAAAACTTCATGCCTATATGTGTATACATATATAAAATTCCACAACTGTTGAAGCTCTTAAAGCGCACAGATTTTGTATTAAAGCTATCCAACAACCAGATGGAACCCAGTTCATTTTAAACCAACCACTAAGTGCCTCTACGAGGACTGCAGTATCTTCTTGTAATCTTGGAATGTGCCATGGAATGGGTTTACTTTACCATCTGACACTGCCCACAGCTCCTCAACACTTCCCGATATCAGATGCTCGTCGTGACTCACCTGTAAACAGATATTGATCAATATACAGCAAGTGTAGAGATATGAACTTGGTGTCTCGATGTCAAGTTTCGTGGTAAGGTAGCTTAAGATTGACTGAAATGAACCGAACATGGATAAAATTAGGAGGGGGAACCGAACGTACCATGAGAATGCCTCCTTGAAACAAGACAAGGCCCTGAATCAGAGCCTCCACCGCATCCAGATCCTACACATTTTGACAACATTTAACCAAATAATTGTGGGGAATTTTGTTCTTACTTGATGCCACTATTTGTATATATTTGATGTATCAATAATCTTAAAGAGAACAAGAAGTAACCAGATGATTGGATGGCTCGTCAAGCAATATAATGTGCGGCTTCTTGAATGTGATCTTCGCAAAAGCAACTCTGCTTTTCTGACCACCTACATGATTCATCGTGATACATAAATATCCAGCGATAATTTTCCCAGAATAGCTTTGGGCTTCTGAGCAATAGAAGCTTTCAGGCTAGAACGTACTACATGGAATTGTCAAGGAAAGATACCAGATAGCGTGTACATAGGCTGAAGAGCAAGGTTTCCAGTTACACCAAATGAACCTAGGTGAGCTCGAAGCTTTTGCTCCGGCACGCCCTGCAAACAGACATGAATGAATTAGTTTTATCTTTTCCCTTGCAAAGCACAGATAAATTATGTACAAAAACTGCCTCAATATCTCTCCGGCCCCCAGCAGCATGAGCATAAGAAGCACGAGCACTTTAGTTTATCTAATATGTCCGTGTCCAACAAATGTAGAATACTGTTATACACTTATCTACACTACTGTTATAAACTTATCTAGAGATGTACACGGGATGGGACGAAAAACCTTCCCCATCCCTGTCCTTGCCTCTTCTTTCAATTCTCATCCCTGCGAAATTCCTTATTAACTCTTTGCAGTATTTTTTCATCTTGTTATACATATTTTATTTTAAAAATATTGATTAAAAAAAAAAAAAAGATAATGTTTATTTTTAATATAATTTATATTAAAAAATATAAAAGATTAGAATATTCCTAATTAAAAAATATTTCATATAAGCAAAGTATCCTATAATATTCCACCTAAATTCTAAAAACTCAAATTTCAATGTTATAACCTAGTATTTCCCACATATATTAATTTAATTTTGAGCCTTAGTTTTAATATATATATATATAAAATAAATGGTGGGGTTGGTGTCAGGAACAGAGAATACAATCCCCCATCTGTTTAGCTAACAGGAAAAGATATCTTCTCACTTCCTCCCCCATTCCCCATTTTAAACAGGATATATATAAACTTTTTAAAATGCATATTTTAATAAACGAATCATTTTCGTGTCCTTGCCCTAAATTTTTTTCAAAAGATATGTCACCGTGTCCATGTCATATCTATATCTCGAGTCTATATCTTTGCTTCTTAGGTCATTTTCCATACTGATCTTTGTATTACTTTTATTCATTTTTCTTTTATTGACCATAGGTGGCCAAGTATCTCAACTCATCTTGCATACGACAACAACTTGATCATATCAAATAACAGCTGATGTCGTTAAAACACCATATAATAATATCCAGAGTGGTTTAGACTCCATAGTTTAAACTCTAAACCTCAAAGGTATTTGGGTGTAAGCATTTTTGTCAGTCCGTCCAAACCTCTTATTTCTTACAAGCATAGTTTACACAAAGCAATTATGATATTTCTACTATCACTTCACTTACAAGATCGATTTTAAATGAGTTGAATGACACCCAAAGAAAGGTTTCAGTCCAGAAAAAGGGTTGACTAAGAAATTTGCCAAACAAATATGAAGCTAGCTATTTCTCGCAAGGCTTAAACCAATACACATAGAGACTAGAGGGTGATGGAGTATAACCAATTTTCTTTTCTAATCTAGGGAAGAATATCAACAAGGTCAAAGTCCATCAGGAAGCTAGAGACAATACTGAATACAGTAGAGCAACTTGACAAATCCGTAATCATACCTTTTCATGATCAAAACGTCACTTAGAACATTGTTTATATAAAAGAAAAACAACAAACAGAAAATATAGACGTGACAAGTGAACTCACTGGAAAGCAACGCATCATGTACAGAAGTGGATTTGAAGACAAGTCTAATCCATCAACATGGTGCTGACTAAAGACAGCTATTCGAACCTGTAGACAATAAGTTAGTCAACACATAATCATGAAACTTAAGTTTTCATTTTCTTTTCCCTGAGTCTTAAGAAAAGATGAGCTACAAAGGAGGGGAGGATATGCCATTCGATAATCATTCCACCAAGCGCCAAAGAGAGTACTATCCAATTAAGGTGATTATAATTAAATAAACAAATAAACTAATTAAGGTAACAAAAAAACAGCTCAATAATGTCTAAACATTAAAAACGGAAAAATGTATAAACGTAAAATACCATAGTTCCAAACTACATTAACACAAAAATTGAAATATCAGGGTCATATTGATATTTGATATAGAACCATCACAGTTAATTTTTCACTTAGAAGCATCGAAGTTACTTTTTCCACTAGCATCCAGCTCTGAAACCCAAGGAGAAAAATACCTTAGCTGAACGAAAAACAGTTCCAGAGGTGGGTTGAAGTTCCCCAGCAATTAATTTGAGGATAGTTGATTTACCAATGCCATTTGGACCAACCACTGAAGAAGAAGTTGGAAGTCTAATCAGAGGAATGGTGCAGCTATGATATATAATATATCAAATGCTAGAACTAAAAATAATGAAGGATATGAATAAGAGGAACATGGAAGCCAAGACCCAAAAGCAGAAAAACTACAGGTTTACATACTGAACAATCCAAAAGCCCTATACATGTGAAAGAATACAAAATTCAGATTCCCTTACTTGCTATTCGACTGTCAAGATCAATCCCAAAATTCAGATTCTTGAACAATATGGGTCCACCTGGATAGCCAAATGATGCATCACTGCAGTCCCGAAGAAGAGACATCAGAAGGATTTAAGAACAATAATTATGTGCAACAATCATCTTAAGCAAGGATAGTTACACCATCTCATATCTCATTAAGCAGCATAAGAACGCATAATCTTTCAAACATTTTGTCATTAAATGTGATTTTAATGCTTCATATGCACAAATTCTCAAAACAAACATAGTTATACCAGTATTCCCGAGCATCCTCATTAAATTTTCTTGCAAAACAAACACAATTGTCCAAGGATGCCAAATGTCAAAGGTCCCAAGCATCTGAACATCGAACATCTAGAAATGTTGAGTACCCTAATTCCCAACATTTACAGCCCCTTATTGATATCCTCTTCTATAATTTTCCGATCTTCTACAATAAATATGGTAAAAAAAACATATATTGTTTCAATAATTCAATCACATTTCTAGGATTGTGTATTAGAAAGACACCAGCAGCCTATGCAATCACAATTTTGAAAATTTTCAAGTTCAACCACCAATGGTTAAAGGAAAGGATAACTAACATGACTGTCAAGAATTTCAAACAATCTCGACAACTATCTAATCATATAACCAAATTTCTTAGATTTTCAGCATTCAAGTGCGGGACTTTGTTTTCCATTTTTTAATTAAATGGAACTTCCATAGACTAGCACGTTCCTTTGCTGGACTCCTAGAGTTTAAAAAAAAAAAAAAAAAATCCAGTAAGAAGGATATTTGCTGGACTCAAAGTAGACCTCTGAGCCTTCCTCAACAAAATATTTCAAAAAAGAAAAAGAAGGATAACTTGAAGAAATTGAAAACTGAGATTTTTACTAGAACCCTTAAAAACGCGCTCTTTTCCACATAACATTAGGCTCTAAGAAGTGTGGTCAAAGTCATTTTGCAAGCAAAGCCTCATTAGGAAGTCTTGGGTTTCCTATACCCAACTTCCCCATGCCGAATGGTTTTGAAACCGCGTCCACCTAACCAGATGATAAGCTCCCCCTCAAACCCTTCCCACAGAAAATCTCTAAACTTCTCACAAACCTTGCTCACTGG